TACAAGTTGAGCACTATTGCCAACTGAGCTACATAGCCACACTTTGGGTGCAAGGCAAATTTGATATTAGACTATTGTGCAGTTATGTAATGCAATGTATCTTCCAGACAGGCTTGCATTTATGATTCACATTGCTTAGTGAATGGCATGTACTTTGCCAAGTAAGGCGGGGAGAGGGGGGGCACAGACAAAGCAAGAGTTTATTTAACAACACAAAGACTGAATAATTGCTAATCTTTCTGGTAAAATTCTTGCCTCTGCACATTAGTATCAAGGTTCCCTTGACAACTTACTCAACACTTAACATTCCTCGGCAAATGTGTTGTAGCTTGTGTCACAGACCCACCTCACCAACCTCATACCCTCCTTGTCGTCAATGCAACACAAAAACCCAACTAAAGCTCAAAGCTGCACAGAATGACCCAGTATAACAACATTTCTCACCTTTTACTAAGCTGATCCTCCTCTCCTTGACTTCTTTGTGACTCTTGAGTTCTCAATGATGATGTACCAGGCTGTACAGCCTCCAACTGACTCATTATCTCAAGACCATTTTCTTCTGCAACTTGCTGAATAAGTGCCTCAACCTGATCAACAACAGAAAATGTACATGGAGATGTTTAATACAGGGACTAGGTGATCAAACTTGGCTGATCGTCATTAAATCTTAACACCCTAACATCAGTAGGCATAACCTCCAAGCTGTTCTTTACACATTCCCATCTAATTGACTATGAGAATTCAATAAAACCATCGAGAGCTCATTTAGTTGGGATCCATTCTCTTCATTTTCATGAGCAAAAAGTTTGATACCCCTGTGATACTATACAAAGAAATTAGAATGTTTAATGGTTAGTAACCACTGGGGAGCTCATAAGAGTGTTTATGACATCTCTTTACCTTTTGCATGCTTCAACACAAAATGTAATTTTATCAAGCACTACATGGACAAATTTGCGATAAAAATTCTTTCTCTGCAGCCTACATGTGAAGTACCTGGTCTTGAGGAGTGGACAATGTAGTTGCTTCTCCCATTGCATTTTCCAAGACCTGGAAAAACAGTATCACATGTAATATGAAACAAATATGATTGTCTTTCAGTCTAGAACTTCTTTTAACGATGAAATATTAAAAAGATGAAAAATGGAGCAATAGAAAACATTTCAATTCTACCTGAGTATTAACATCAAGATCTTCAAACATGCCCTCAAACTTCTCCATGGTAGCTGAAATCTACATGATCAAAAAATTGAAACACGTAAAATCAGACTTATTGCAGATTAAATCCTGATGAACTAGTTTTAAGATGTAATGTGAACTAGAGGTGTAATACTTGCAAATGTTATCATGATATTATGACTAGACAGCATTCATGTGGATGATCTTCAACTGAAGCCAACACAACCATAACTTCCATTACGTGAGAAGAGTTAACACTTCAGATATAGGTAGAGAAAGAGACTTCTGAGAACAAAGAGGAAAATGATGGAAATTGCTGACTACTTGGGGTACAGCTTAGCTTATAGCTTGTTTTTTCTCAACATTTTCACACAAGTATTATGGCATTTAAGCGGTAAAGGTGCATTTTCTTCTTTAAAACATTCTCCATATTCACACAATCCAACAGGGGGCTCACACAGAAATATTACACTTTAACAAAAGTGTACTGTAACTTGCATGAAAATCCCTTGGGTAGCCCTCCAAGTTGGGACCAGTTTGGTCACCATGGCGAGAAAAAATATATTTGTTGCCCAAAACTGCAGTGAAAGTTGCCAATTGGCAACTAACAGATTTGAAAAAAATTTGAAAAATCTATTGATGATTGGTTGAATTATCACACTTACAATGACACAGCATGAAGTGTACTCCCACTGATATCACAATTTTTTTTTGGCAACCAAATAGTTATCTATGGCAACCATTTTGCAGATGAAGGTTGCCAAAAGGTAACTTTTCGAAAAAGGGACCTTGGAGCCTTGAGTGACCACATGTTTTCAAAAAATGTAAATAAAGTACCTTTTCCAGGTCCATGGATGCCATAGCTTTATCTAGCCCTTTAACCACACCATCCATGCTCTTAGTAACCTGAGAAAAATATTACACATTAGGACCATAACATGCAATTTGCTGCATGGTGAATTTTCTTGGAGCTTTTTTTCCAAGTGTTTAGTACAGCCTTGTGCGCACAGCTTGCATGAAGTGATTCAAAGGTATTCATCCTTCCTGATCAATACAATATAGTTTCATGAATGCTGACTCGTTAGTGTGTGTTATTACATCTTGCCAATGCCATAAACCATCATGTATCTTTTTGTCTGACCAACATCCCCCCTCCTCCATGAAAAAAGATAATAATCTAAGATACTATACACTATCCCAAGATCACCACTGAGTTCAATCTACATTCCCTATTTATTAACCCTTTAACTCCCATGAATGACCAAGACAGAATTTCTCCTTACATTATTACTGCTAAGTGAAGCAGAATAGTGATAAGAATAAAGAAAAAATATCAATTGGGGGATTATTAGTTGATTCAATACAAATTCTCCAAACTAACATCTTAGAAATTGTATGGCAGACTGTAAAGAGAATTACTAATGAAATCCTGGGAGTGAAAGGGGTAAAACACATGATCATGACTTTACTTTGAAAAGCAATAATAGAAAATTGTAGAAAAGCATGTGACAAGTCTTATTTTGATCAGTTATCATTAATTCCTAATTTTTAAGCCAGTTAATAAATAAATAAAATAGGAAATGCTTAACTCAGAATGAAAATGAACACACAAATGCTCAAACACAACCAGGCCCCATCAGTTAACTTTTTCCTTTAAGTTTTCTTTCCTTTTAAATGCCCAACTGACCAACCCACTGACACAAGAGAGAAAATGATGGAAAACAAAACAATATAGTGGTTTTGAACAGCCTGTCATGCTGAAAGAAGGCAGGGAATCACTTAAAAAGTGTAACATGTACCTGTTTCATCATCATGGCACTCTGAACTTTTGATGACACTGCATCTACACGAGAAGCAAGTCTTAGATAATTCAACCCCTCATTTTTCTTTCTGATTGCATTTTCTGCATAAATCTTCGCTCCTTCAATATTTTTTTGTTGTAGAGCCTACAAGATGAAAGCAAAGAGATGCATGTATTTGATGTGGTTATCATCTGTGGTTACTTAAATTAAAAATACACTTATAAGCGATCAATTTTAAAATAAGTACAGTTAAGGTGTGTGTATCTCATGCAATATGTGAAGAATACTTCTCATTTTCTCTACATCTATAACAGGCATTTATTTGCTGTTACATCACTCACTAATGAATGGTACATTGGAACTCGTGTTTAAGTATTCAATGGATAGTAAACAATGCTTTGAGAGAAGGAGAGCAAAACTTATTATGAACTACCATCACATCCTGGGAAAGTTGATGTGCATTTTGCCAAGTCACTTGTAAGTGTTGTTGTTGTTATTGATATTTTAATGGCCAGTATATTTCTCAGATTTTGTCTTAGTGTTCATTAATTGGTAAAAAAAAAGAACTTTATGTCATCCAATTCAGTCAATACTTTTACTAGTGATTAAAAAACAGACTCCCACTTCGCATTTGTCTCATTTTGTGAATCACTTGCGTGATTACAAAATGAATTGGACTCCACTCAGTCCTATTAACATAACTATCGAATTGTTTTTCTGATCAGGGGCAAAACAAGGACCTAGTGTAAGATTACACGATCACACAAATTGCCAATTACAATGTACAGTTAAATTAATAATAAATTAATTATGTACAGTCAAACCTGTATTATGCAGCACTATATTAAGCAGCCACCCTGTATTAAGCTGTTGGTTGTCAACTGCCCCAAATTTTTTCCCCTTAATTACTGTAATGTTCACCCCCACTGAGCAGTCTTGGACACCCTTTACTGACTCCCAACGACCTTTTTTTTTAATCTTCTATCCGTATTGAACCATCAGTTCAAGTGGAACCATTTAAATAAAACTAAGAACAATCTCTCCAGTAAAATTTCATCCTTGTTCATCTCCCAATAATTATTTTTTGAATGAGGCTTTGTACATTAAGAGGTCATAATTGCATAAAATGGTGTTTTTATTGTTTTTAATAATACCCCTATTCCTTGGAACCTATGTTAAGCAACTAGCCAGTCACCTCTCCATTCCCCATGGGTGGCCACTCAATGCAGGTTCAATTGTACTTAAGATTTGTAGAACTGTAACTAAACAACCTTGATCAAAATGAAAAATGGCATTTTCCAGTTGTCCAGTTAAATAACTTGAGAAAACTAACGGTGGTTACTATAATTAGGTGTGTTTAACCTCATACTTGGTATTAAAACTTTTTGCATTTTGAAATCATTTCGACCCGAAATTCGTTTTACCCCAAAACATATGCACTAAATACCTTTTTCACTTTAGCTTGTTGTGCCTTCTCCTCCTTCTCGCATTTCTTTGAGGATCTTTCTAACTGTTTGCATGTGAACTTAAAAGAGACGAAGACGACCGTTACGACCTCACGAATAATACGGATTACTAGTAAGCAGTTAAATAGTCAGTAATCTTGCAAAGTAAGCCTACAGTTCAATGCAACCATGCAAGACTGGCTTACCTTCAACTGGAACAGGGTGTCTGTAAAACAATCGAAAAAAAAAACAATCAGCCAAAAATCATTACATATACTTTTCTTAAAAATTAGGCATTCATCTCCTACCTTCTACTGACGGCATCTTGAAACTTTCCGATGATTCTCTCCGAGTAAAAATGACGTTTATATGAAAGAATATCGTCGAGTTTACAAGTTCACGTCCACCATTACGGAAATATCAAAAATAAACTAACCCCAATCCCTCACGTCAAATGAATGTCGTCAGAGCATCATAACCCTATAAGGTAATGTTTTCTAAATAAGGCTAGCGACGCCTTGATTTTCTGGCTGGGTCCCCCCGCGGCCTAACGTGGTGCAACTCGTGTTTCGCCATTTTGTGAAAGAACAGTGGAATTTCGTTTCTGTGAATTTTATAAATCACATTTGAGAGTTTGACGAAGAAAATCCGGTAAGTACTATTTAAGCTTGGTTAACTAAGTACTCTTTGATATATATCACTGTAGTGTCAGTTTTTCCCTTGAGGAAAATTTCAATGGTTTTTGTTAGGCGACGTAACTGCAAGCTGCCAAACTATTATAAACCCCAAATTTTTTTTGCGAGTCGTTTAGTGACCTAATGTTCCACTACGATAAGCCAAAGAAAGTCCTGTTTGCAAATGTTGCTCGCGTCCACTACGTAGATATGTGACTTTTCGACTGGCAATGAAAATTTTTTTGACGATTCTCTTCCATCGTGGTCCGCAACTTTTAATGATCTGCAATCGAAATATTGTCCTTTGAATTAGTTCACTTACTTGCAAGCACTCAAAATGTGTCTAACTTCTAATTTATGCGAATTATAGTATAATTGTTACCACGAAACAAGTGACAACGCGGTGTAAGGACTCTCAAGGGTGATTGTTACCACGGAAAAACTGTCTTCTAAGCCCCGTACAAGCAGTTATGATAGTTGATGATAGTGCGATCATGCGCTTTTGAACATGCACTATTATCATGCATCATCATCAACTATCATTTCTTATCATGCAATTTGGACATGCTCAAATTCCACATAATAGTCAATGATAGTTTTTATCATTTGAATTCACAGATGATAGGGTATGATACTTATTCCATCAGCAGTATGATATTGTGTGATAGTTTTCTAGTCAGCAGTTTTTCCAAAAACAGACTCAAACCAAATACTCGTCATCTCATGGAAGGCTTTGGTATCTTCCACTCACACCTCCTTGACTAAATTTCAAAATACTACTAAAATCCCTGACCTCAGTGCAGAGAAGACTTCGACTTGCATCACTCCATATGGTCCTTACATGTCTGTCTCATTTTTCATGTTCATATTTAGAAATTTTATCTTCAGCATCATCAATCATGGCTGATGACTTTGATGTAGAAGCAATGCTTGAAGCACCATACAGAAAAGAGGTGAGTTGATATAGGGTTTTGGTGAAATTTAGTCAAAGCACTTACATGTAGTAAAAACCACTGATGTCTTGAATGGGTGGCCTTGTTCATGCTTTTCCTCCATGGTTTTTCAATAAGGTCTGAAGCAAATCATAATGAAAAAGTTAAAAGCAGATTTCTGAAGGCATTTCAAACCCAGACAGTCATTATTAGCAATGATATATGAACAACTTGGTAATGGAGATTTGAAGTGACTTATAATTTTCTGTCATATTGGACAAAAGTAAAAGAAATGGAAACTGGCTTAAAAATCTGTATTCTGTTCAAAACTCTTTATATGAAATTTGTAGGATATAATTTTTTCTCGTTATTGTAATAACTTTTCCCCAAAAGTTTACTGAAATTTTAGATTGTGGCAGTCAGTATATCTTTGAGCTAGCTTCTCTCTTGCCCAGTCATCTGACCCCAGTATCTTATTTTCTGTTTTGTAGACTTGAAATTACAGCACAACCAGCCCTTTGAGGTAGTTACAGACCACCTCGACTGACACAATCGTTGTATTTATGAACTGCGCTATACTGGGCTAACCTTTTGTGTCATTTTTGTTCTGATTTTATTGAAAATAAATAAAACTTCATTCTCCCATTTGAATTAAATTTCTTAACAAAAATTTTAAGGCAAGTATTTTGCAGATCCTTTCACTAAAAGGATGAGGTCATGAACTTTCAAAGCTTTCAGATGCATTATTAATTTTCTACAAGAAGGCTGTGTTTAAAAAAAATTTACACACTGTACATTTTTCTGATTAGACTGAGTGCCTTCTTCCTAGCTTTTGAGATGATCTGTTGAGGTGGGTATGTGGTGCTCAGATTCTTTTAGCATTCACATTCACTGCAGTGTTGTCATCATGCATCAGTTACTGTGCCAGCAGTTGTACCATCAATAACATAGTAATATAATTGTAACATAGCAAAGCAAACGACCATATTTCTGTTTACCTAGGTTCTCCCTAGGGGAGACTTATGTAAAATCTGTGGTTTATAGCAAGATTATCTTGGAAATCATGAACCAGGATAATCTACTGGATGTATGTTTGGTGTCTCTTTTATGAAGAGAGATTGTCTTCTTCTTTCTTTTAGACTCCTCCCTCTCAAGCAAACGGGAAGGGTGACTCAAACCGGACAAGTAGTGATGGGGAAGAGAGAAGAAAACGGTAAGATTACAAGAAGGGTGTTCTCCTTACTCAAGGAGTCTTATCTCTAAAATGTAAAGCCTTTGCATTCGCTTATCCAGATGAACTCTAGAAACAGACACCAAAACACCGTCAGGTTTTTATTCAGCTCATGTAATTCCATACATGGTGGAAGGGTTGCAAAGGGACATAAAGGATGCGAAGTCAATTTATCAGACCACTTGATCAGTGCTCAAGGTGAAGATACATGTACACCTAACAAGCTTCTTCAGTTTTGCAGCACCTCATGACAACCAAGCAATGTGAAATCTGAGCGAATATTTCTGTTTTCGCCCTAGGTAGAAATTTTAGGTTATGCAAGGCATAATTACAGCGGATGATCACTGGACTACAAGATGTCTGGTTTTTGATGTTAACAGGTTGAAGTAAATGGCCATTCAGGGGAGGGTTGGAGTGTACTCTTTTTTAGATTTCGGCCTAAATTTGTAACAAGGCAGAAGTTAAAAAAGCAGGACTACTAGTCAGGAAAACCATACTCTGAAAACATTATACAATTTCTACACTTTTCTATAATTGCCAAGTTATTATCACCTGGCAAAAGTAAATGGTAGAGATGCCTCTATGCGTAGATGGTTGCTGATCATCTGATTGAGAGAAAATTAGAAAAAAGTAAAGTCTTTTTTATACCTTTATAGTACATAATTCCTGAGTGTAGCAAACTAATGTTGTTGATTGAAGTTGCATTGATTGTGAGTTGACATATTGATGTTGATAGCTTGGTTGACATTTACAGGGAATACCCAATAGAATTTTAAAAGCCAAAGTTAATCTTTTGTTTCATAGGTTGGAATTAAATGCACCATAGTTTTTGCTGATTAAGTTGTAATAGCAACAGTCTTATTCATTCCTTGGTCCCCATTATAGAGCTGCACTAAGCTTAGACATTTGGGACTGATCAAATTTTTTTTTACTTGCTCTGAATTAGCTACATTTGCTTCATCTCCCTAAGTTAACATTTTCCTTCTACAGTGTAGCTTCAGATGTGCCATAACATGTTTTCTCTCATTTCAAACAGTTGTTTGCATCTGAACATGATCCACTAAGAGCAAATAAAGGTATTGTATTATCTACAACGTCAGTGTTACGCTGCAAAAATCCTGGCCACCAGAAGGAAAGCATCTTGTTAATAACCTTTATTGCCTACTTTTTGCCAATCTTGGGTAAGAGGGCAAAAATCTTGTAAAAGTACTGCAAAAAGTTTCAATATATCCTAAGGGGTATAGGCTTAAAAGCCCATAGTTGTCTCAAAATATTTATCAAACTGTTCTGACTGTTTTTCTTGGTACTTTTGTCAACAGTAGTCATCGAAATCGGAGTCGCAGTAGAAGCACCGGAAGGTAACTTTTCTGTTCTCTGTTTGGAATTTAATAATTTGATTTTTCTTCTCTAATGAACTTGTGTTAGAATTGTAACTTATTGTTAGGTTTGATAATTTCAGGAGTCGGAGACGTCGTAGCCGTAGCAGAAGCCAGGAGAAGTAAGACCTGTTCTATTCAGTAGAACTTATTAACCCTTTTTGGTGTTTGTATCTAGTTCAACTGTTAATTTAGGAGTTTTGTGGGAACTAACTGCATTGTTTGGAAGATTGAATGAGACTTGATGATGGCTTTTCCACACAGCTCATGTCAACCCATCTGGCCCAATGTATACACTTGTCAGCTTTCACCAATGCTTTCCATGTGACTGCATGCAAAGGGGCATATAGCTCATTTCATCTTTTAATTAATATCGTTGTTATTATTATTCAAGGGAAAGTTTTTTCAAATAGATATTGAAACTATGATCACTTTTTAATGTTTTAGAGCTCGGAGAGGTCGGAGTCGTTCAAGAGATCGTGACAGGTACAGATATACTTTTTGTACTTTTTTCTTATTGCTAATGGATGGTCAATTGTTTGACACTTAAGTCTACCAGATTCTTTATAATTTCCATCATTTGTCAACTATGACTTTCTTTCTTGTTGCCTGGTTTCAGAAGGCGTAGACGCCAGAGCAGTAGCGGGAGTAGAAGCCGTTCAAGAAGCCCAGACAGAAGGCGCAAAAGGTTGGTAAAGCCTAGTCAAATAACTTGTGGAAGAAATGTTTTAATCAAGTCCTTAAGCTGTTCCATTACTAGTTGTTTAGTTCTGCAAACAGGGAAGGCCCTGAACTAGTTTTCTTTTGTTAATCAGTTTCTGTAACGGGTCAAAGGTTCATGATTGCTGCAGGGTGTGAAATAAGGGCTGGTTAACAGACAATACTCGGCCAAATGAAGGTTTTGTTTGGTCTACTCCTTGGATGGCTGGAAATTTCATGTAATAGTTTATTAATGAAAAGAGGAGGTAATTCCGAGCTGAATTTAGGTTTTAAAAATGGCTTAATGGGTTAGGGTTAGGTATCACTTTTCATGAGTTGAGTTCAAGGATGCTTGTACAATATAAGCATGGTAACATTGTTTGGGGGAGAGGTGGGTGGGGTGGAATAATTTGATTTTTGTGAAATCATGTCAAGTGACCAAAGACTTTCAACCTGCATTGTACATGTAGTTAGGTTAACCCTTTGTTAAATGAAAAAGCAGAAAATTTTGATGGACCTTGTTTTTGTTTTTGTTGGTTATGTACCATGGTGACCTTTTTTTGAGAGGAAATTAGGGGGTAAATATCATGAATATAATTTATTAAGATGTGTATGAACCTTGTCCTTCACTCTTACATTCTAGCCATGATCAGAGAGAAAGACGTGATAGAAAAAGAAGTGTAAGTCGTAGTCCAAGTCCATCAAGTCGTAAGAAGAGGGATGAAGCAGATGGAGGCAATAGTGGCACTATTGTACAGCGTCTTGAAAGGTAACATAATTTCCTTGAAAATCTCGATTAGTGTTGTTTTATATTTGTTAGATAGTGCTAAACTCAGGAAGAGTGGATTGGCTTTCTTCCTTCAGTGACCATATCATCACAAATAATTATAGTATAGTTTCAGTTCAACCATTTCTACAGAGGAGAAACTGAAGCTCAGTAGTATTATGACTTTTCTTTTAGGAGGGAGCTAAAGCCTGCAGAGGATATAACACCAGAGGAGAGGGATGCTAGAACAGCATTCTGCATGCAGCTGGCAAGAAATATCAGACCTAGAGATCTGGAAGAATTTTTTTCAAAAGTGGGCCAGGTAAGCAGTGAGAGGAAGGGTTGCTTATATTCATCCACTTGTATATGTTGCATTGCATTCCATTTTGTCCTGTTTTGGGGTTAGTAATGCTATAGGTAATTTATTTACTTTATTATCTTAGGTTGCTGATGTGCGGATTATATCAGATCGTAACTCAAGACGGTCAAAAGGAATTGCTTATGTGGAGTTCACTGACAGATCAGCTGTGCCTTTGGTGAGTTTTTGCATGAAAGAAATGTCCATCCACCATAGTGGTGTGAAGTGCAGTAATGTTGCTGAAGTTGAGTCCACAACAAAACAACAAAACCAACTTGAAATTAACTTTTTTTTCTGATAGCCACTTGGCTCATAAATTCTTCAAAGTGGTAGCCAATTCAAAAAATGTTGGTCGCCATTTTCAAAGACAATAAAATCTTTCTTTATGCTGTCAGCGTTCTAGATAGACCCTCCAAAATTAAGTTAGGGAAAAGATCTTTAATGTGCTACAAAGTGGACACTAGGATGTATGATATACAACGTTCAGGCTCATCTAAATCCAAGATGGCGTCTAGTTATCGATCGAGATGCATGTGCTACATTTTGGAAACAAACTAAACGAGGAAGTTTGCCGTGGATTTATCTTTGCAAATTTATTTAATTCACTATATCTCTTGGTAAGGTTATGATGAAACGTTTTAGTTGCCAATTTGGCAACTAACTTTCAGGATTTGCTCGCCAAAGTGAAAAATTTAGTCGCATTGGCGCCTGTATTAGGCGCAATTTCACGCCCTGCTTGATTTAACCTGGTCACTGAACAGGGCATCAAACTAATAGTCGAGGGTGTCTTTGCCTGCCTTTGTTTTCTATTGTTTTTTATGTTGTTGCAGTGTTGATGCTGAGTCTTGTTTGTGTGCATGAACTTTTCATTTTCATAGGCAATAAACCTGTCTGGTCAGAAACTCTTAGGAGCCCCAATTATGGTGATGCCTACCCAAGCAGAGAAGAACAGAGCAGCAGCAGAGGCTGAAAAGCTCAAGGCTCCACCAGGACCTACAAGACTATATGTTGGATCCCTTCACTTTAACATCACAGAACAAATGATAAAGGCAATATTTGAACCCTTTGGAATTGTCGATAGTGTACAGCTTATTTATGACTCTGAAACAGGAAGGTCGAAAGGCTATGGCTTCTTACAGTTCAGAGATGCTGATGCTGCAAGGCAAGCCATGGATCAGATGAATGGTTTTGAACTTGCTGGAAGGCCTATGAAGGTTGGGCCTGTAACAGAGCGAGGGGACTCATCTTCCTATTCCTTCCTGGATGATGAGGAGTATGAAAAGGGTGGTGTTGAATTAAACTCCACTGCGAGGGCTGCTCTCATGGCTAAATTATCTCAGGGTCATTCTGCCGGTAAGTGCACCTGGCGATAAAAATGGAAAAGAATCTCTTCCTGCATTATGCCACCCACCATTCTGAGATTTCACTAAAGTGTTCCTTAAGTGGCTATTAGTTATACATTTAGTGGAATTTTAATTGTTGTTTGTTGTAAGAACTGTACAATAGAAGTCTTAAACAACTCACTTTTTTCATGATATGCAAATGAAGAAATGATTCTCATCTGTAAACTGCAAGAAAGGAAGTGATTCCAACCTGTGCCTCTCTTAATGAAGTTGTGCACTAGTACAAAATGAGTGAAGAGGCTGTGATGTGAGCAAGGCAAGACTTCTGGGGGTGTTTGATCTTGGAAGGAATTTTCTCTCAATTAAATAAAGTAGCTAATACTTGTGGATGAGCCCTTCAAAACTCCTCTCACTTCCAATGTGTGGCTTTTTTTTTCTCTTTCAGTAGCATTCAGGTAATGGGTGAAGATTTATTGATTTATTTTGCCTTTCTAGGTCTTCAAGTGCCAGGTGTTCCCCCTGCTGTTGTTGGTGTACAACAAGCTATGACAGCACCTGTAGCCATTCCCCTTCCTACACCCTGTATCATGCTGCTAAACATGTTTGACCCTACCAAGTAAGTAGCAGCTTCCCTCTTAAACTTTTCATGTTGTACTCCAGTCCTTGTACTGTACATGCATATGTGTATGCATGTTTTGTAGGAGAGTACAGCTGGAAGTTCCTGGATGTCACTCTTATGTGAGAGGGATAGTTACCATAGTTTGAGTAGGAAAGCCTTCACATGGTCTGAGGCATTAGCCATCATCAATTTTCTGTGAAAGCATTTACCTTTGGTAGTGGTTATTAATCTTGAAAAAGTTTTTATTCTGGAAAGAAGATCAGAGTGATTTTATTTGTTTCAATAGAGAGAAAGACCCTGATTGGGATGCTGACATTCAAGATGATGTATTGGAAGAATGCACAAAATATGGTCATGTGTATCACATTCATGTGGACAAGACCTCTACCCAGGTTTGTTTGAAGCAAATAATATGTGCATAGAGCAGCTGTGCATGGACTTAGACTGGTCTTAGTTGCATTCTTCACCACTGCAGCAAGGGCTCGTTATGTGTAATTTTTTTTTCAAATCTTATAAAAATGGAAAAATGTTAAAGAACTTCCTTGCCCCTTCCAAGTGGTCCAAGTGCGAGCAAAGCTCTTGAATTATTAACCGTCTCTTTAAGCTGATATTTGCATTTATTTCGCAGGGAGTTGTGTATGTGAAATGTAGTAATGCTGAAGTTGCTGCCAGTGCTTCAAAAGCCCTCCATGGCAGATGGTTTGCTGGTAAGTGATACTAAAGTAATGTTACTGGTGTGAACGTTTTAGTATAGATCGTGTTGGCTGAGCTATTTCCTGGTTTATAGCGAAGAAACCGTTGCAGTGGATTCGAATAATTAACTTCTTCAACTAGCGTCAAAGCAGCAAAAATAGTAGCTGTGTGCTGATACTGTACACTGGCTATGGAAGAAGTAGCGGAATCAGTAAGGTTTCACGTCGGCGAAAAGGCTTACTTGTGTCCATGCATACGAACAGAAAGTGTCTGTTGGTTTGTCAGTTGTAAAGCAACTGATCCCTCTAGTGTCTGTTAGATTTTCACGCTTCAGCATCTTTGTGTAGATCGAAGCAAAACGAAAAATTTTCTTCCCTCAACTTGTTATCTCGGATAAGTATCGATGGATAGTGTCTTAGAGGGGTCGCTATTCCATTGAAATCTATTAGTAAGGTATTCTCATGAGGGGTTTTCAATTCTTCCACAAATGCATTCGGTCAGAACGGTTAAATTTCTCAGAGAACTACCTTAATCATTTATGCGCAAGAAGAACAAGATCAGTCCAGCACCCGACGTCAAAACCATGAGGGTTTTTATCATAGAATACTAAAGTTCTTTTTCTTTATCATTGATAGGGAAGCAAATTATTGCAAGAGCAGTTCCTCTCGCAAACTACCACAGCATGTTTCCTCAGGCAGTGTCGATGGTGAAGCCGTTGCAACCATCCACGTTTTGAAAATGACCAGTCTTTCTTTTCTGAATGTCTTGATATTTCTGTTTGACGAATCAGACGAGCAGGTTCTAATTTTTAACGAGTCACTATTTGTAAATAAGTCGGTGAAACAATAAGGGAAATTGCTGTTGGTTTCCCACAAGTTTGTGTATAATGTGCAAGATAATATACGATCTAAAGCAAGTGAGGATATGGCTTTATGGAAGTGTTGTTTTGTTGCCGTGACACATCCGTCATCCTAAGTTCCCTCCAATTTTCTGAGCGAATTTGTATCAGACACTCTTCCTCAGCAGTTGTTAAGAATCTGCCGAAACTGTTACTTTTCTTTGCTTCCGTCGATTAGCTTATGCTCCTGAAAAACAGTGATATAAACGGACGTCTATGGAAGAAAAAGATGAAAATGAAATAAAATATAGTTTAAATAGCGTAGTTTGTCGTTTATATCTCCAATCTAAGGATCGACAAACACCCCCCCCCTTTTGAAGAAAAAGGTAACTCCTAAAGACTGATACCCATAGTGAGACATTTATGGTCCCAACTGTGTGAACTTAACTTGACGAAATTTGAGACGAATGGAACTCACTTCCCCGCCGGATCAGTGCATCGTGGCCAATGCTAAACGCTTCACTCGCGTCTGAATTGAAACGTAGGATTACATGACGACGGAAAGCTGACAAAATTCCATGGGGGGGATTGACTCTTAAGGCGTGTAATAGAAGAGGAGAGGATACTCCTCGTTGCTTACTGCCACTGAAATCGAAACATTGTAAACAGCAGTAGTGGGCTGCGTGGAATCTTGAAACTTCACCTTGATACTGAAGACAAACTTCAGCGGCGAGAAGATTGAAAAGGTGCGAAATCGAGACATTCGCTGCCATTCCATAATCCTACTCGTGACAACGCCGTTAACTACACAGTTCGATTTCCAGCGTTCATTATGAAAGGATGTTTTACTACCTTCCCAGCCTCGTATTGCCTCCGGAAAGTAAAGCCTTTGCCTTGCTCCCTTTGATGTAAATTGAGCGAACTAAATGAGTTAATGGGCACTTTCTTCGCCGATTGACAGATCTGCCTTTCAATTTTACCCGGAGGTGCCGTCTCCCCTTGAAATTTTATCACCGGTAATACAGGCAAGGTAGGTCATTTAAGCGGATTTCCCGAGTCA